CGGAGAACCTAACGGGTAACCGGGGCTCCGGCTCGACGTGCAGGAGAAGGAACGGGGTGGTTTTTAGTCAGTAAGAGTCTGACACTCCCTCCCGCCTCACCCAGGCGGGGGCAGTCATTCGATGATTTTCCCCCCTTAAAAAAAAAAAAAAGAGTAAACATATGTATATCAGTAAGCTCCGAACTGCTAACCTATCGGGAGTTACATGTGTTATTGTGAGTCAACCATAATAGATAGACGTGTGCTGTTGTGGGATATTATTTAGATAATTTTATATAGAACATTTCCGTCATACATGATTTCTATATAGCTTTAACTATTAAGACTGCACACGCGACGGAAGTTTAAAAAGTGGAGTTACTTGTCCCGTTTTCCCAACACTTTCCTTCACTGCTCTGCTCCTATTGATTGTAGCGAGATGTAAAGTATACTATAACCTCCCCAGAAGTATGAAGAATAATTATACCAAGTTTCATTAAAATCCGTCGAGTAGTTTTCTGTTAATGAAGCGAAAGAGGTATGTAAGAATCGTAGCAATTGGCGTTCCTTAGTCTCTGCCTACCCCCATGGGAGACAGGCGTGAAGTTATGTATGTAGTTTTCTATTTCTATAAGGAACATACAGATAGATAGACAGACAGATAAAAAATTTACTGCTTGCATTTTTGGCATTAGTATCGACCACTAATCAATCACCCCCTGATAGTTATGTTGGAAATATATTTCATGTACAGAATTGACCTCTCCACAGATTTATTATAAGTATAGATTAATCTTACTGTGCGTAACCTGTCATATCACAGACTCTTGATAATTACATGTCAGTGCTCAATTTTAACTCGTCGAGTACCGTCAATATAGACACAATTATAGAACAATAGGTTGCGGTCACCGGTGACCGCTTGGTGTTTGACAGTTTAAATAATCTAATAAATAATATATAATAAAAATTCATTTTAACCATTAATATTGTATAATATGCATTACATCTCATGCGACAGCCGTAAAATCGAACCATTATTTTCGCAGTAAAATAGATTTGCCATTCAACAACTATTCATCTGTCGGGTCGTTGACTAAAATATCAATTTTCTTCTAAAATATCTTAAGTGTTTCGCATAAGTCTTTGTTATTTTCCAGTTGAAATCAATTCATTGTAAAATTAACGCTACAATTTTAGAATATTTGCGTCTTTTCAAAGACCCTTTGGCAAATAGTTTTGGAATTCTAAATTGCGTCGACTCATGGGCCGTTTAATTAGTAAAACGTATTAATACTTAATTGTTTTGTTGTGGTGTAGTCTATTGTATCTTATTATTTTCTAAATAAAAATTTGCTAGTAGGTACCTATCTATCTTATTAGTATAGTAAGTTATAAATGTGAGTGATTTTTTATGTCAAAGTGGAGCATTTCGATATTAAACTGTCAAACACCAAGCGGTCACCGGTGACCGCAACCTATTGTTCTATAATTGTGTCTACAAAACCGGTACTCGACGAGTTAATATTATGTTTTTTGTCTGAAGTCACGTGGCTGAAAAGTTTTAAGTATAGGCTATTTTTTTCTTTGATCAGGAAGTCAAGACCAGAGAGCCGGTAATTAACATGGATATTGAAAGTTGACTGCCTCGTTGACCGAGTGGTCGCAAGTGCGACTACTGGACAAGGGGACTCGGGTTCGATTCCCAGGTCAGGCAAAGTATTACTGGGTTTTTAAAAATTGTCAGTAGTAGCACTGAGTTTGGAATAGTGCCCGGTATATGGCAATAGGCTCACCCCCTATTACATGGGACTCATAACAAAAATAGTGAAAAGTGGGTGTTACATTCTACAGTGGTATAATGTACACCTCTGCCTACCCCTTCGGGGATAAAAGGCGTGATTTTATGTTATGTATATTGAAAGCCTTTCACAAATATGTACAATTATGTGTGTATACTATTTAAACTCTGAGGTGTCTATAATGTTAATCAAATCCATGAAATCGATCATAAACCAGAACTCAAGTACTTACAAATTACACCTTTAAACATTACTAGTTCTAACAACCAATTAGGAGCTGCTGGAGAACTTAACGGGTTACCGGGGCTCCGGCTCAAAGTGCAGGAGTAAGAACGGGGTGGTTTTTAGTCAGTAAGAGTCTGACACTCCCTCCCGCCGCACCCAGGCGCGACAAGACATTCGATGATTTTCCACCCTTACAAAAAAAGATCTAACAACCAATTGAAACTTTTAGAGTGCTAGAAATAAAACAAAAAACACCAATTAGGTTAATAAAATAACTTGTTACTCATAAATACAAAACAAGTACTGATCAATTAATAGATAAAGTTTTCATTATTAATGGATTTGTTTCAATAGAAATGTAGGCGATTAGTTTTAATCGAAACACTCGAGTTGTGAGTTCGTTTTTAAATAAAAGGTGTTCATTTCAATTAGAATTGTATTCGATTGTAATCGATTAGAAAGATGTTAAGACTTTCAGTTTAGTCTTAATGTAACTGATGAATGATTAATTACTTTTATTGATTAGTAAGATCAGTATCTATTGGAACAACGATTTGACGAATGACATCAAATATGACCGAAAACGTCTAAGATTATTTAAAAAAATATTGCTACAACATAGATCATTCGTCTGAATCTTGGCAACATTTTTTTATAGCATAAGCCGGGAAACGTGCAGACGGATCACCTGATGGTAAGCAATCGGCGCCGCCCGTAACACCAAGGCGTTACAAGTGCGTTACCGGCCTTTTGGGAATTGGGAATTTGATGATTGTGGAGGTTTCGGGAGACTAGGGAAGGGGGTAATTGGGCCTTTACAAACACTACTTCACACATTACACCCAGATGCGAACAATACTTTGGATTTCACAAAATAATTATTTCTCGACCATTGCAGCGCTCTTTGGAAAACCTGAACTTTTCAAAATACAATCTTTAACCCGCCTTTCAAGGGTGGAGATTATGGGAATCCCTTTTATATGGATTAGACCAATAGTCTAGGCTAGTGGTCTACTAGACTATATCAATAAACATTGTGTAAAAGATCCAGCAGAATCTACCAGTGGACTGCCACAGGCTGTCGATGATGACAATAATCTGTCAATGAAGACAATCATAGAACATAGATGACGATTATGAATTAACACATTGATTTACTCCAATAAACTCTTGAAGTAGAAACCGATCAATATTCTCACAATCTATTGTCAATGGCACACAATTAACAATTGGCACTAATAAATGAAATTAATTGAATCTTCCTCATTGTCACATACATATAAAAACACTTAAGTTCTACAGAATACGGTTGAATTTTAAATGATTGGTTTGGAATGGAAGATGTGAAACAATGTTTCGTTTGATACAATGAAGTGTTATGTCTAAAAATAGTATCTTTAACTTATATTTGAATCATCAATACATACATAGATTTATACCTGTCTCCCGAAGGGGAGATTTCATTTCGATTCGCACAAGTTTATTTTAAAGAAAGAAAGAAAGAAAGAAAGAAAAATAATTTATTCGCCATGGACATATACATGGACCACCGAAAATTAAAATACATATACATTAAAACACAAAAATAAATATAGAAAACAAAAATAAAAAACATAAAATAACAAAAAAACAACAATGAAGGCAAAAAAAAAAATTATAAAAACAAAATAAAAGAAACAGGGTGGCAGCATGTCCACGACGAAAGGGCTCGCCAACTCAGTCTAAGCTGGGCACAGTAAGTACCCAACACTGATTTTCAGTTGGCACCCCTGCAGTGACGCACGGACGGAAGCAACGAAAAATTATTTAATGCAAAGAGTATAATAAGTATAGGGTTATTTAACGGAAAATAATATAAATACAAAAGACACATGTTAAAACAATAAACGAAAAGGAAGAAAATAAGTATAGATACATAAACAAGTGCTACGTGTACCGTCACCGTAGAAAAAAATAATAATAATAAAAATAAAATTATAAACCACATATATATATAAAGAGACAAAAAAAAGTTTAAATCTTTTTCAAAACAAAAAAAAAATTGAAAAACGTTGGGAAACGGTGTGTTGCCCAACCTTTTCTGCTCCAGAACAGAATTGTCGTAGGCATTTTATGATATTCTAGATAATTTTATATTGAATACTAATCAAAGACAACAAACATTTATCGCTACTCAACTCACTTAATATCTATCGAGTCGGATACAAGCAGGATACTGTAATAAGGTAACCATTTTCCATTACCAGATCACCGAATTGTTTTGCCAACTTACCGTTACAAAAACAGATAATTCCATTTCGCTTCGGTGCCGTGGTGTTTTACCTAATTTCCTTACAATCGCAATGGTTCAACTTTCATTGTTTTCATTATATTATCGCTTTTCTTCTGCGCCGGTAAATATTGGAAACGATAATTCGGAAATGTTGTCCTAAGTAATGCTGTCAGCAGTTAATAGGAATGAACTGTTTTCTTCGCAATAAAATGTTTTGTTGTGAGAGTAAAAAGCAATTTCGTTACTAGAACTTTTTAGACTCACTTTTACAATGTATTCGTTTCGAAACCAATAAAAGAAATAATTGATAAGGAATGCAGAGAGCTGAGAAGCATCACTAATAAGAAAATATCATGGGTCGCTATCCCAGCGGCTTATTATTCCGAGAGGAATGGAAATTTCTATTCGAAAAAATCTGTATCGGTACTCTCAATTTTTATTCTTTTGTTGCCATTTGATAAAAATAACTACTAGAATTGATTCCTCATTTATCTTGTTTTTATCCACAGAATGCAGATTCAGTTCTGATCGACGGTTCCTGTCAAGTGCCAGATAATTTGTACAAGGCCATCGGGTCCATCATCTCATTCTACATTCCACTGGGCGTGATGCTGCTGACGTATGCCTTGACAATACAGCTCTTGGCGAGGCAGAGGAAGGGACTGGGAGCTGGCTGGGCACCCGGATGGCTTGGAGCTCCTCCTATTGGTAAGTAGTTTGTCGTTCTAAAGAGTTTTCTGGCTTTTAATTAAACTATAGTAAGCCAATGAGCTGATGGTTATTGAGGAGTTTATAGGATAACTATAGTGGGATTAGTAATTGAGTTGGTGTTAGAAATGATTAGGAATTATGTGAAGGTAAATTAAGATAAAGATTTAGTTTCTTTAGCGATCTAGTTGAGAATTGCGTAAGTCAAGATCTTGATGAAAATTTCTTTGGGCAAAGTATTATTCAATTATTCCGGTGCCTAGTCGCGAATTGTTTGGTTTGCATAAAACTTTGTATTGTATTGGTATCTGATATCATGGAAGAAATGTAATGAAGGTATTTGATTCAATATTTGCCACCTCTTTACAGAAAATGTGCGATAAGATTTATGTGACTAACATTACCGACTCAGTAGTTCTAACATCACTTCTCGATTTAGCTGAAGAGAAATACACGTTCAATACCTAAAACGATTTATTTACCTGTACAAAATAACCTAAAACCTTTCGCCAGGAATACGAAACATAACAATAACAACTTAATTTAGCAGTAAGTTTAATCAATCTCACAAAAATGGGCCCCGAGATTAAAAACCACTCAGAGTGACTGAGTAGGCTTGATTTTAATAGGATTTAGATCTTGAAATTACATCTGATAGGTACACACTGTTGCCAAAATGAAAGGATAATTGTTTACTACCTGATATCGACACGCTCGATATTTCATTAAAGGGTAAGCACTTAGCCAGAGTTGTTCCATTGGCTGTATTGTTTGCCTTTTTTTTAAGAGGGGAAAATCCTCCAATGACTTTTTCGCCTTGAGTTAGGCGAGAGAGTGTCAGACTCTGACTATAAACCACCCCGTTCCTACTCCTGCTTTTCGGGCTGAAGGCTGGTAACCCGTTAGGCATTCCGCGGCGACATAACGGGCATCAGCCCTACTTGGCCTCATCTGTAGTGGTCTGATGGCTCTATAAGACGTGCGCAAAACGCGATGCACTCATTGTTTGCCTTAGGGGTCCAGTTCAAAATATTTTACTCAACAGAAGCATTTTTTTTTCACATATTAAACCAGTTGAATTACAAATACATTCTCTTCTACTGTCTAAAAACGTATTAATAAAGGTATCAATACAATGACAAGCATAGAAAACATACTGATGATTTCTTGTGAATAACCTACAAAAGTTACATTAAAAGGAAAAAGTGAACCGAATGTTTATTAATAATTCCTATAGTAAGCTTTTGCCTCATAGGATTTGTCACTCCAAAAAGGTAACCACACACGTCCAATTCAATTTTCTCAATGTGATCAAAGAGGAAAACCCGTTTTTTTTAATATTACCTGCGTTCGTTTTACCTTCATTTCAATTTGGCATAAATGGATTTGGGGTCCGAAAGTCCTTTTGAAAAAAGAATGTTAATCTTGTGTGATTTAAATAGCAGTGTGTCTCAAAAATGTTTGAACTCCCAGAAGTGCTCGTTGCTAATCTCTGCGGAATCATCGAGATATAATAATTTTGGGCACAAAATACGCTTTAGGTAAAAAATGGGTAAAATCCCTTACGTTCTTGATTAGAAACGCGATATACGGGCCTTGGACTTGAGATCGTGAAATAAATGTTGCTAGCATTATTTGAGATTTTATAAAGTTTTATTTATACATTGCGCTGACTTGACTGTATTATTATTTGGTCTCTATTTTATTTTTTCCTATTAAAATTCAATTCTACTCATACAATTTTTTATAAATCAGAGTTTTAGCTACATTTCGTGAAGATCAAGTGTAAATATCAATCCATTTATGATAGCATAAGTTTAAACCTTAGTGGATTTTGGTTGCTATTTTAAATGAATAATCCTGTACTTATTGTAAATACGATAAATAAAAAAATCTATTGTTTAAAAAGTAAGCCTTATATTCGAAACATTTATAAAGATCTGAGACTGGTACCACAATCTACATTTATAAATACTTTGCTCTTCGATATAAATATTTAATTAATATGCGTGCACGCCCTAAAACCGATAGCACATTGTGTATTTTAACTTATTCAATATTCCACAAATTTTAACAGCATTTCGCGGTTGCTTCCAAAGTTATTAAGCAGTACAATCTTCTATTAATTTGATCTCATCACAATTTAATTTCAGTACAAACTTATTTATGAAATAATAAGTTAATTACCCCGTAATAAAAGGTAAAAGGGGTCGGTTGAAATTTTATTAAAATTGTGACAAAAATAAAGATGTCGTCGTTACATATTCATGGAAAATTTTATTTATAGCATAGAGAGGTTGATAAAAGTGTTTTTATTGTAGGTACCTTCGCTTATTTATAGACTAACGAATTATATTTAATTTTACCCTAGTTATAGTAAAGGGGAGACAGAAGTTAAAAATATTAAGTGTGGGAGAGTCATGCCTCAGCATGAAAACCGACGTGAAACAATATTTGCATTGTGTTTCGTCGTGGGAGTGAGGTTACCGTAGGCCCAATTACCCTCCTGTCCAATCTCCCCAATCCCCAAAATCCGCAACAATCCTAGAATTCCTAATCGCCAAAAGGGCGGTAACGCATTTGTGACACCTCTAATGTTTCGGGTGTCCATGGGTGGAGCCGATTGCTTACCATCAAGGTGATCTGTCTGCTCGTTAAGTTAGTCACTGTCCTTTATACGTATCATGGAATTAACAATTTATGCTCCACGTTCATCTTAAACTGTGAATCAGATCAATATAGCAGTAATTTTATATTCGTGATAATGACATTTACCTACAAAAGAAAACAAAATTACAAAAATCTAATAATACTATAAAGAAACATTTCAAAGTCAATAGTTTTCAAAATAACATTTACTTGAAGGACGATCAATTACCACCATCATATTTCGTATCAATGAAACCCGCAGACAGATATGACAGTCCTTCCAAGGCTTAGTTCACACGTGGCCACATTTGTATCGGGAAATTGGATCGCAATCATGCCTCCACAATATCCGGCACATGTTCCCATCTAAACTGTTAATTGTACTGTGGATATAAGTTCCCTCTACTATCTAGTGGTTTCTAGTGGCTTCTGGCAGCTTCTTGTTCATTTGTATATATGTTTAATATTTGCAAGGTCATTTTGATTATAATTTTTTTTTTTTTTTTTTTTTTTAAGGGGGGAAAATCATCGAATGACTGCCCCCGCCTGGGTGAGGCGGGAGGGAGTGTCAGACTCTTACTGACTAAAAACCACCCCGTTCCTTCTCCTGCACGTCGAGCCGGAGCCCCGGTTACCCGTTAGGTTCTCCGCGACATTTTGATTATAATAGAATTAGCTTCTGCTAGCTATCACCTTGGCTTTGTTTCGCTTGCATTTCAATGAGAAGAAAAGTAGCCTACGTGTTGTTCTAGACCATAATTTACACCAGTTCTAAAATTTATCACTATCTTTACAGCCGTTTTGTCGTCATTGAATACAATAACAAACACACACACACAAACATAAAAAGTTTTTAAGCTTTTGGTGAAATGAAATGATATTTACTTCGTTATTTTGGCTACAATGAGTTCTAATAAGTGGGTGCATTGTCTTAAATTGGATTTATAATCTAAATACCTTCAGTGACTTTAATAGACCTAGGAAAATATATGTCTTTTTGGATAGAGCTTAGCACTAAAAGAACAATTTGAAATAATTAGCTACAACAGACTTAATAGAAGTTGACTATTCTAAAAAGAAGACGTCACTTGATAAGATCTATTGAGAAGACACCTAGATTCTTATTTTTTTTGTATACCCACGTCTGTAAAACGTCCAAGCCTCAACATACCAAATATAGAAACGACAAATATTAATCGGATAAAAGCTTTTATATTTTATATATCAAAGTAAACCCATTTACTGTCCCCTTGAAAGGGTACTCAACTAATATTTACTTGTGACTACGAAATGGAATTCGTGGCGGGATTAAGCGGTCTCCCACATCCGTAATATGAGTTTTATATCTGAAATATTTATGGAGGATTATTGGTTTTTTGGTTTCTTTAGTAAATGTGGAATGGTTAATAACAATGATAAGTTACAAAAGATCTTATTTATTTCAATTAGACCAGGAAGGCACTTTAGAATGTCAAAACAAAATATTGAAATAATAAATAATTAGAATAAATTACAGTCTTTAGGTCAGTCGTCTTGTGAAGCTATTTGCTATTATAACTATTTGCAAAATAAGTTAGTAAAGTAAAAAGATCAACAGGTAAAGCCACGCAAAGCAATCTTAGTTGACAGATTACTGAATATTTGAGAATTGTGTCTTGTCTAGAAATACGTACAGGTATCAAAGATAAGGTAAATTTTTTTGTCTAAATAACTAAAGAAAGCAGTTTTAATTATGGTTAACAAAAAAATATAATTTTTAATTCTTTCTTTCTTTCTTTTCTTTTTTACTTTAGTAGTTAAAGATTCTCAATAGATTTATGAATGAATATCAAGAATAAAACATCACCGCATCACAGATACTACGACTCAATAAGACGCTCCGTGGAAAATATTATTAGTCAAATTGTATTACGTACGTACGTTCAGACGAATCTGGTTAAGTATCGATATTGATATAGGAAGTCAACCTTTTCAGCAAAATTTCAGACATGTGTATGTCTGAAATATTTGTGTTATACCAAGTTTATAGCCCACAGACACGTTTATTATAGCACAATGTTGTTTACACCAAATATGATCCATTACTTTCTTAAAAAATATCTAAATCATAATCCAATGATATTTAGTCGAGTCTAGGATCAAACTCCAGACTTTAATTCAGCATCAGCTTGTATTTGTCTACTGCTGGACATAGGCCTCTCCAATGGCACGCCAATGAGCTCGGTCTTCAGCTTTTCTCATCCAAATACTGCCAGCCACCTTGCGGATGTCGTCACTCGACCTTAAATTGGTGGACCAGTCGCACTGTCAGTGTTCACGTCTCGGCTCCGTATGTCATTACTGGAAGGACG